CTTCCAGTGGCAGGTCGCTCGGATCTGGCAACTCTTTGACTTCCGCCGCCACCGCCCTCAGCAGCAAGCAGTCGGCCGCGACCGCCACCGTCGCGGCGGCGGCGCCGGCGCCGGCAGCGACGGCGGCGGCGGCGCGGGCGGCGGAGAGAGACAAAGAGAAGGAGAGGCAGGCGGCAGCGACGGTGGGGGCCTCGGCCTGGACCTCGAAGCAGCAGCAGCAGCAACTTGGACCCTCAAAACCCCTGTCCAAGCAGCAAACAGGGGCCATGGCAGGGCCGCCGACGGCGATGGCGACGGCCGCTGCGCCCCAGCAGGGGCTGCAGGGCCCGATGAACCCGGAAGATCTGGAGGCGGCGAGGGATCTGCTCAGCATCCAGACGGGCGGCAACGGCTGGTTCCTCATCACGCGGCTGAAAGAGGAGGTCGCCGCGGGCATGGCGGCAGCCTCCGCCCCGGCCGCCGGCCCCGACGGCGACTCAACCGCAAGCGGGCCCGCAGGAGCGGCGGCGGCGGCCGGCGGCGGGGGCTGGTGGGGCCGGCGCGTGTCGGAGGGCGCGTTCGAGGTGCTTGGGGAGATGGTTGTGGCGCTGTTCTCGGCGGCGGCGGCGCAGGAGGACTGGCGGGTGGTGTTGGCCGTCCTGCAGGTCTCGTGCTGCGTCAGCTGCACCACGGGTAAGGGAATTTGTGCGGGTGAAAGAGGGAGAGATAATGTGTTTGTGTGTGTGTGTTTGTGTGCAAACACGTGTGTATGTGCGTTTGTGTGTGCGCCCGCGCGCATGGGTTCGAGGGTGTCCCGCTGAAATGTCCCTAGCGGAGGGATGGTAAAATGTCGAGATTGCAAGCGATGGCTGGCGATGGGTTCAGCCAATCCGCGCTCACGACCCCAGTGCCAAGGCCCCCCTCCCTGCCGCCCCGTCCGCCCGCCTGCCCGCGCGCAGCCGCCGGCGCGCGCCGCCGCCTGATCGGCGAGCTCGCGTCCTGCCCGACCCTCTACTGCGAGTGGCTCTGGAGCGGCGCGTTCGCGGCGGCGGTTGCGGCGGCCTACCTCGGCGGCACGAACCGCGCTGACCTGGCGGACGTCGTCGCGGCGACACTCGCCGAGTTTGCGCACGTCATTGCCGGCGTGGGGATTACAGGTGGGTGGACGCCGGCGCCGTTTCGGCGGGGTTTCGCCCGCTGCGTGGGGGGCGTGTGACGACGTCCCCCGTGTGCCGGCGTTTCAGGGGCGGGTGGCTTTGTCTGGGCCACGGCATGTGGGCGAGTGGATGGCCGCAAATTTGACATGGGGAGCCTGCAGACTTCGCCGGCTTGGCACCTGCTCATATCCTCCCCGTGTGATTTGGTCTCGGTCTGCTCGGCCCCTCAGGCCACACAGCATGGCTGCTACTGGCTCAGCTGGCCGCCCAACACGGCAGCCATCCCGCGCCGCCGCCGCCAGCGGTCGCGGCGGCCTTGCGGGCGCACCTGGCACACCTGTCCGCCCTGTCTGAGCGGCCGCGACTTCCGCGTTCCGGCTGGCGCGGCGGTGCTTTGGCGTGTGCAGCTGCGGAGGGTGCTGCTGGCCAGCCCGAGGCAGCGGTGCCCCCGCGGCTTCCGCCCTCGTTCGCCCGGATGCTTGGGATCGACCAACCCAGCAC